AAACACAACTAAACAAAAAGATCAAAATGATAAGAAGTGATAGGGGTGGAGAATATGAATCTCCTTTTGAAGAAGTATGTTTGGAAAATGGCATTATTCACCAAACAACTGCCCCTTACTCTCCACAATCTAATGGAATTGCGGAGAGAAAGAATCGAACGTTGAAAGAGATGATGAATGCGTTGTTGATAAGTTCTGGTTTACCACAGAACTTGTGGGGGGAAGCTATACTTACAGCTAACCGAATAATCAACCGTGTACCTCATAGTAAAACACAGTCCAGTCCCTATGAAAAATGGAAAGGAAGGAAGCCCAACTTGAAATACTTCAAAGTGTGGGGGTGTTTAGCTAAGGTACAAGTTCCTAAACCTAAAAGGGTTAAGATAGTTCCAAAAACCGGTTGATTGTGTATTTATTGGATATGTAACCAATAGCGAGGCATATCGTTTTCTGGTTCATAAGTCAGAAAATCCTGAGATTCACGTTAATACGATAATAGAATCAGATAATGCAGAATTCTTTGAAACTATTTATCCATATAAAAAGGAAAGTGAAGTGACCTACCAAAAGTCAAAACGACCTCGGGAGGAAATAACGGATGGTATGCCTAATGAGGAAAATCCGAGAAGAAGTACACGTCAACGGACATCCACTTCATTCGGTCCAGATTTTCTGACTTTCCTGCTAGAAAATGAGCCTCGTACCTTCAAGGAAGCAATGTCTTCCTCAGAAGCACAATATTGGAAAGAAGCTGTCAATAGTGAAATAGAATCCATATTGAGCAACCATACCTGGGAATTGGTTGATCTTCCTCCAGGTAACAAAACATTGGGTTCTAAATGGATTTTCAAGAAGAAAATGAAAGACGATGGTACTATTGACAAATACAAAGCAAGACTTGTTGTCAAAGGATTTAGACAGCGAGAAGGTCTTGACTATTTTGACACATACTCGCCGGTAACAAGAATTACATCCATTCGGATGCTAATAGCGTTAGCCGCCTTGTATGATCTTCAAATCCATCAACTGAATGTAAAAACAGCCTTCTTAAATGGTGATTTAGAGGAAGAAATTTACATGGACCAACCTGAAGGGTTTGTGGTTCCGGAAAAAGAAAAGAAGGTGTGTCGACATGTTAAGTCTCTTTATGGACTAAAACAAGCACCCAAGCAATGGCATGCGAAATTTGACCAAATAATGTTGTCAAATGGCTTTAAGATTAATGAATGTGATAAATGTGTTTACATTAAGAACGTTCCAAATCATATAGTGATTGTTTGCTTATATGTTGATGATATGCTAATAATGAGCAAAGATATTGCTGACATTCAAGCTACTAAGCGTATGCTTGCTAGTAAGTTTGATATGAAAGACTTAGGAGTTGCCGATGTAATTCTAGGAATTAAAATCCAGAGGACTCCTCAGGGTCTAGCTTTGTCTCAATCACATTACGTGAAAATGGTACTTGAAAAATTCAAACACTTGGAATTTAGAAGTGCAAGAACTCCAATTGACTTAAATCATCATCTTATAAAGAATAAAGGTGAAAGTACGTCTCAATTGGAGTATGCTCGTGTGTTGGGAAGCTTAATGTACATTATGAACTATACACGACCTAATATAGCTTGTGCAATAAGTAAACTTAGTCGATTCACAAGTAATCCAAACAAACATCACTGGGTGGCAATGAAACGAGTTCTGGGATATTTGGAATATACCCAAGACTACGCTTTGCACTACAATAAATATCCTGCGGTTATCGAAGGATATAGTGATGCAAATTGGATAACCGGCTCAACAAAAACAAAGTCCACAAGTGGATATGTTTTTACTGTTAGTGGAGGAGCAGTATCTTGGAAGTCTTCCAAACAAACGTGCATCGCTCGCTCTACAATGGAATCAGAGTTTATAGCTTTGGATAAAGCCGGTGAAGAAGCTGAATGGCTTCGAAATTTCTTAGAAGACATTCCGTTCTGGCCAAAACCTTTGGCTCCTATTTGCATACATTGCGATAGTGAGGCTGCAATAGGACGGGCAGGGAGCGTTATGTATAACGGAAAGTCTCGTCATATATGACGAAGACATAACACCGTTAGATAACTACTTTCTAGTAAAATTATCACTATTGATTATGTAAGATCAAAGGATAATGTGGCGGATCCGCTTACAAAAGGCTTAACTAGAGAGGGAGTTGAGAAATCATCTAAGGGAATGGGACTATGGCCGAGGACAAGTCAACATGGCGGTAACTCTACCTAGAATTTTGGATGTTCCGAGATCTAGGTTCAAGGAGCTCAAACAAAGTTGTGATTGACCGGTTCAACATTGTCAAAGTAAAATCTTTGGTCCCTTCTTGTGATGAAGACAATGTTCAGTAACAAGGATAGAACCTTACACGTTCTTTAATAATTACCTAAGTTTGATGTGGTATTTATCAAATAGTGTCAATCTAAACGATTACACGTTTAGGAATCACCTATGTAAGTGTGAAGTGGAAGCCGCTTCAATGAGAATTCTGTAAGGCCAATTCTCTACGCACTTATGAAACCAGGCGGTGTTCATGGCTGAAACGAACACAACAATGAGAACCAAAAGACGTTTAAGGGTTGGTTGTGTGACATATGGTTGTCTAGGTATACACTAAAGTTCGACGATTCAAAGATATCAAATCTACCGATTGACCGAGTATATCCGACATATGTTCACTACGGAAAGTTCAAAGGGAAACCTACTTATCCAGATGCGATTAATCCTTACTTGCAAATCACACACCTTTCATCTATGATCATTCTTGTTACAGCCATTCCCATTCATGTGGGGGATTGTTGGACTTTAAAGGCATTAAGCTTCAAAGACTCTAAGCATTGGGCTTTAAAGTATAAGAGTGTGAATTGGAAATGGTGGGAAATAAAATGGAGGAAAATGAAAATTTGAATGAAGTGAGCTTTTGACTTGCACTTTGTCCCTCATTGGTGAGGGACAGCTACATTTGTGTGCTTATATATAGAATCACTTCTTAAAGCTCTTAAAAGGAGTTGAAGAGAATGATCCCTCGCGCCGTCGTCGTTGCTCGCTCGGCTCGGCTTCGGCTTTGGCTTTGGCTTTGGATTTGGATTTGTCTTTGTCTTTGTCAAATGATCGATTGATAAGATTATTTTTGGACAAATTTTTTTTAATTAATTATTTAATAATTAATTAAATGCCAGATCACTGCTGAAGATTCAGAAGGATAGTCTGGCCGCGGTCCTGGCGTAACCGCGGTAGGACCGCGCCAGAACCCTGCTGCAGATTCAGAGGGCCACTCTGGCCGCGGTCCTGGCGTAACCGCGGCAGGCCGCGTAAACTTCTGAAAAGGCACATTTTCCAGAACAAACATCACACCGCTTCCAATAATTGCCTATAAATTCTGTGGCATGGCTTCGTTTTTAACACACCAAAAACATTAAAGAACTTCCTTCTTTCTGAAAATACTGCATTCTAATTCGCAGTCTCTCTCTCTCAAATTCGTAAGTGTGATTTTGCTCCGTTCTTTAAGTTCGTTGGTATCCTGCAGTTTGTATTGCCACTGTTGCAGGAAGGTTTATTCCGTTTTATCCTGGGAGGATTTAATCCATTACCTTGGCAACGTGTGAGGGGGTTAAAATTCCTTAAGGACGCACAACCAAATTGTGGACTCGGAATATTTCTTAATCTTTACTGTTTTTCCAATTTCTTTTATTCTTCTAACAGTTTTTCTGATTTTGTGTTTTAACACAGTAGCAACAACAACACCACTATTTGCAAAAGAAAATTCAAGATCTATGGAGACCAACTTTGAGGATCTCCAAATGATTGATCTAGGAGAGGACTACTATATAATCAAGTTCAGAAAAAGGGACAATATGGAAAAAGATATTCAACAAGGCCCTTGGTTTATTAACGGGCACTACCTCTTCATTACTAAATGGAAACCAAACTTTGTAGCTTCTAAGGAAAGGTTGACAACAACGGCTGTTTGGATTAGACTCCCACAGTTGCCTACGGAATTTTACGATGGAGAAATACTAAGAAATATTGGCAATGCAATTGGTCGTTTACTAAAGGTGGATGTTTGTACCTCAACTACACTAAGGGGAAGATATGCAAGGCTATGTGTCGAACTTCCCTTAGAAATCCCAGTTCAACAATTTCTATATGTGGGACAACACAAACAACACATCCACTACGAAAGAGAAAATTTTCTATGCACAATTTGCGGTAGGTTGGGACACAAAAAAAACCAATGCTCCTTTATCAAATTAGAAGCCATAACCATCAAAGAAGGAACTGAAGCTCAGACAACCAACTCAATGATAGAAAAATAAGAAGAGGAGTGGAAAACAGTCTCGTTCAATAAGGGAAAGAGGCCAGCACAAAGGAACAATTATCAAAATACCATCAAGCCAATCCACAACCCCAAAGGTCCAGGTATCCCTGTTAAAATGTTCAATGCCAGTACGGGTAAGTATCTCGATACTAAATATCTTCAATACAAATCAAAGGAGTTAAAAGATTTTTCTGCTTCAATGGATACAAAAATTGAAGAAACAAATTTTGCCAACTCCTTGATGAAAAATCCGGCAGCCATGGCCAAAACAACCACCCCCCTTCTTATTAAAAATAATTTCAATATTCTTGAAAATGAGCACATGGTTTCAGAAGAAACCACTAACGAACTAATCAAAAATAATAAAAGTTTTCTTAATTATCAAAAGACCCATGCAGAGGCACAAATGTCCAACACAAATGGAGATTGTGCGATGTTGGATATTAACGTGTCAAACACAACAAAAAGAGAAAATAATCCCATGCATGAATTAAGGGGAAATGACTTTAATACCCTTTCTACCAATACTACTTCCACTACCCTAAATATCAATAAAACAATACCTTTTGGTAATTATACTACCTTAATAAAAAATCCGGACAAAATCCTTGCATTAGGATCTCATAATCTCCCCCTCCCTGAGCATGTAAGCCAAATGGCAAAAAAAGATGGCCAAGGCTTACATTTGTCCAACCAAATCAACCAAGCAATGGATACTACTCCTATAGAAGAAATATCTATAAACCATGGCATTGGGCAACCAAAAGCCATGCAAGCGGAACACCTAATCATTACCCTACCGCCCAATCCCTCTCAAACTTCCCCTAGCCCTTCTCACACGCCTAAGTTAGAAACGTTAGAGATACCCATCCCTTATCAAAATGCCCAGAATCCCTTCAACCATAAGGAGACGTCTCAGATTGATACAAATCCTAAGGCAACACAGAGCAATTGCCATGGAGAACCTTCCTCCCTTTCCACCACAAGTAGAAAATCCTCAAATAATTTACGTCCAACCACCACAAGCACAGGACTATCAACCAGTATCATGGATGGAAATGGGATTAATGGGCCATGCAGTATCATTCAATCTGCAAATCAACGGCCAAGACTCAATTGTGATACTTCACAACACCCAGTATTTGGCTCAACTAGTAGCGGAGGGCATGAGACTAGCTATGAACAATTACCTCAACCAGGTTTGGCTAAACAACATCCTACAACCCCTAGCTCCCTCAGTGAACCCTCAACTAGTACATGCAATGAGAAATCATTGTAACTTACCCCCACACTTCAACCCCATATATCCTCAAAATGCTCTTATGGATATGCCATTCTTTCCCCAGAATCACTAACCCAACTCAACCCTATCTTCATGCCTTGGGAGAATCCTCCACCAGTCCAAGAGCAATACATTCCTCAACCACACCAACAACCCCCATCACCACCTCACCAACAAGCCCAAAACCAAGAACCAGTAGAGGCAGAAATGGAGGAAAAGGAACCACTCAATATAATCTTAGAACAAATCCTAGAGTTCTCAAGTCTAGACGGGTAAAGGTATTTCTCTTTTCGGAGATGCAGGAGAAGAGGCACGTACTCAACTGCCCATTAGCATTGTCCAAATGCTCGATGGACATCAGGCCACCCTAGGATCCAACGATGGGGAATAGGGCCATGATATTAGTACCAGCATTGAGGAGGAACCCCATTCTGGGGACTGTGAGGGAAAATGGGGAGCCACCAAACCAAAACCTTAGTGTTTCCATGAATCATCCCACAAATATCATTATATGGAATATAAGAGGTGGGAATAATGATAACTTTAGGAGGAATTTCAGAGAGATGGTCGATACCCATAGACCTTGCATGGTAACATTACTGGAAACAAGAATGGGAAGCCATGTGGAATTGCTCAACGAATTTGGCTTCACAGAAATGATAGAAGTTCCTTCGGATGGCCAGGCAGGAGGTATCGTGCTTCTATACAACCATGAGGTGGTAACTGTCCAAAACTTCGTTCGTAGGAATCAGGAAATCCATGCAACGATTGAGGTATTACCTATACGTAAACAGTGGCTCTTTAGTACTATTTATGCTAGCACTGTTTTATATAATAGAAATGCTATGTGGGATAACTTAGAACAAATCAGTAAAAATCATATAGGACCTTGGATGGTGGGAGGGGATTTTAATGATGTATTTTCTACTAGTGATAAGTTTGGTGGTAGACCTATAAAAGATTCACGGGCAAAATTTCTTTGGTCAAAAATTAATAGCTGCAATCTAGTTGATCTTGGTTTCAAGGGTTGCGAGTTTACATGGTCCAATCATAGACTTAAAAAAAAGGGATTAATCATGGAAAGGTTAGATAAGGTTTTTGGAAATGATAAATGGATTGAATTATTCCCTAATAGCTCTATAATTCATTTACCTAAGACTTATTCAGATCACAACCCCATATTAGTTGAACTAATTCCTAAAAATCGTCTCCTCCATAAACAAACCTTTAGACTAGAAACATATTGGTTTAATCATCCGGAATTCCAACTCCTAGTGAAAAAAATGTGGTGTGACCCTAATTACCTTAGGAACTGCCAAAATTTTGTTGACTGTGTAAAGCAATGGAAAGCTAGTACGTTTGGGGACTTAATGGGAAAAAAACGTAAGCTATTGGCTCGACTAAATGGTATTCAAACATCGAGCCATTATGCAACCAGTATTTTCCTTCAAAATCTGGAAAAAGAATTAAAAAAGGCTTACAATGATCTCTTCTTAATTGAAGACGATTACTGGAAGATTAGACCTAGGATCATGTGGCTAAACGAGGGTGACTCCAACACTAAATATTTCCACATTTGTGCCACAAATAGGAGGAGACGTAATAAAATAAATTTTTTTTAAGGATGAGGTTGGTAACTGGATCAATGATCCGCTTCTTATTATGTCCTATCTTAACAATTATTTTAAGGACCTTTTCACCTCTTCACATGTAATAACTAGTAGGAAAAACCCCCTAAACGCTAGCTCAAATGTTGGCCAAGTGGATCTCAGCATACTAGATGGACCCTTGCAAGAAATTGAAATCAAAAGAGCTATATTTTCTTTCAAGCCTTTTAAAGCCCGGTTCCGGATGGACTTCATCCTTTCTTTTACCAAAAGTACTGGAACATCATAGGTCCTTCTGTGGTGAAGCTTTTAAAGACATATTCGACAGCCAAATAATTCCACCTAGTATTAACAATACCTACTTATGCCTAATACCCAAAATACCTAATGCTAATAACATTAGGAATTTTAGGCCAATTGGTTTGTGTAATACTATATATAAAACAGTGACAAAGATACTAGCAAATAGGTTAAAGCCTTTTCTAAATAACCTTATTAGCCCCTTCCAATCTAGCTTTGTAAAAAATAGAAGAGCCTCCGATAATGCTGTTATTATCCAAGACATTATCTCAAACTTAAAGAAATTAAAGGGGAAACAAGGACAAATGCTGCTAAAAATCGATTTGGAAAAAGCATTTGATAGTATTGAATGGGCGTTTATACACTACACCTTTCAATACTTTAAATTCCCTCCCAAATTCTCTAAACTCCTGTTAAATTGTATTACAACTAGCTCAATATCTGTCCTAGTAAATGGCTCTGTGACAAACTCTTTTGAGCCAACTAGGGGTATTAGACAAGGGGATCCCATCTCACCATATATCTTTATACTTTGTCTTGAAATGCTTTCAAGATATATTCATTATCAGGTAAACTTAATGAAATGGGATCCAATAACTACTAGCAGGAAGAGTCCAAAATTTTCCCACCTGTTCTTTGCGGACGATCTCACTTGGATGGCTAAAGCCAATAAGAAATCGTGTTACTCCATCAAGGAAGGTCTTGACTATTTTAGTAAAATTTCTGGGCAAAAAATTAATCTAGCTAAATCCAAAATTTTGTTTGCAAAAAACAGTCCTGAACCCGACATAAAAGATATTACAAATATACTAGGTATTAGGAAAAGTGAGTTTTTTGGCACCTACTTAGGATTCCCTATATTAAATAACACTCTTGATTAAATTCAATTCCAAACCACTATATGCAATATACCTTACTACCAAAAAAGATTCTCAAAAACATTGACAAGGTGCAAAGGGATTTCATTTGGGGATCTACCAATGAAAAGAAAAAATTACACCGAATAAATTTGTCTACCATATGCTAACCAAAATCTAGTGGGGGTCTAGGAATACATAGTGCCACTTCAAAGAACCTTTGCACATTGGCTAGTATGGTTTGGAGAATGCTCACAAATCCCACCTCTCCTTGGGCTACTCTTATAATCTCCACCTATGCTTCTAATAATGCTATTAACAAAAACTCTTTTATTTGGAAAAGCATCAAAAAGGGTTGGGAATTATGCAGTAAGATAATCACTTGGTCACCCCACATCCTCTAACATAAATATTTGGGAAGCTAATTGGATCCTTGGGGTAGGAAACCTTAGAGCTACTGTGGAAGGCCCTCTTCAAAAAAGTGATCAAGCAATTAAATTAAAGGAGTTATTAATCGACAAAAAATGGGATTTTGATAATCTTTCTCTTGAAATCCCAAGTCACATTAAGGACATTATTAAAAAGGTCAGAATTCGGAGAAAAGGTCCAAAGAGTGACATCCCTATATGGTCACTAACTACCAAGGGGTTTTTCACTACTAAAACTTGCTTTAATTTACTTGAACATTCTAATAGTAACTATCAAGACTTCCAATGGATTTGGAAGCTAAATTGTCCCAATAAAATAAAGTATTTTTTGTGGCAATGTCTCCATAACAGGGTTCCTTGTAGACAATACCTGGCAACAATTGGTTTGAATATAGATCCAATGTGTTCGGTTTGTAGAAATAAGGAGGAAGAATCAATTGCTCACATTTTTATACATTGTAAGGCTATTAAGCCGTTTTGGTGAAGGGTTGGTTGGCATCACTACTACAAAGATTCAGGAGATCACTGGCTAATCCAACTAAAAAATTTTAGATACACAATGTCTAACAATCTCATAAATTGGGACATTCTATTACCTTTCATAATTTGGTATACATGGACAAATAGGAATAATAACAATAAAAAAAATACATCCTACCCAATCAATGATGATTTTATCTTTAAAAAGGCTACTGAATATAAACTCCTTACTGAAAAAAGCATCTTTACTCCCCCTAAAATTCCTATTAATGTTGCATGGCACAAACCACAAGCAGGGTGGATTAAACTTAACATAGATGCTAGCTACAATACTGTTACACAAAAAAGTGGTTTGGGGGGCATTTTCAGAAATTCTAAAGGACACTGGATTGTGGGTTTGGGAAGTCGTCATATGCAAGTGGATCACTAGAAGTTGAGTTGAAAGCTATACTAGAAGGACTCAAAATGGCTAAGGAATGGAGCCTATACCCGCTTGAAATAGAATCAGATTCTGTGGAGGCTATACAATCGATCCTTCTAGGAAATATGCTTTATGATGATATTGTTAATACATGCAGGTGGTTAATGTACCAGCAGAAGGAGATGATCCTCCGGCACACATTCAGGCAGGGGAATAATGCAGCACATCACATGGCAAAGAAGGCAAAGGAGGAACGTGAAGGAAAGAAGATTTTTGTTGAAGCTCCCTCTTATGTTAAATGTTTTGTGGAAAAAGACTTTTTAGAACAATGTGTTTTTGTTAAGTTACTTTCTTATGATGCTTGCAACACTTTGGCAAGCCTAGAAAATGAAAGTGTCCTTAGAGACACCAAGTATGGGAACAATGTATTTGATCCTCCTTAAGTATTAATATATATATTTCCTGTTTGCTAAAAAAAAAGAGTACGTAGGTCTCACTGTCTAACCGTGAAGTATCGCCAAAAAAGAACAAGTAAAAAGTTACTCTGTAGCAATATATCGTAAATGATGTCCACTACTTAACCTGCCTTATAGACGTCGGTAAAAAAAAGAAAAATTGAAATTAACAAACTTGATATTTTCCCTTTTTTTTCCCTAGAAGATTGGGGTCCGGAACCAAAATGTAATTCTTTTGGACTCAAAATACTTTTTTAGGTGGAAAAAAAAAGTTACCATTTTATATAAAATGCGGTTATGAACCATGTTTTACCTTAACGGCCGTTTGGGATGTTAAGGTAAAGCGCGGTTTGTTACTGCGTTTTATATAAAACGCGTTAATGAATCGCGTTTTACCTGGAAGCCGATCAGACGACTATATAAAGCGCGGTTCATTACTGCGTCTTACA